GTGCCCCATGGCTGGGGGTGCTCAGGCACTCTGAGCAGACCCCCCTGACCACCCTTCACTCACTCAGGAAAGCCCGGGAGAAGATGATGGATGGATCACGCTCCATGGGCAACGGCTTCTCCTACCAGGAGAAACTCTCCTCTTCAAAGCTCACCTCCGTGCTGGAAGCCATCGCGGGTGAATACGCTCTGGTCATCAACGGGCACAGCCTGGTAGGGAGCGGCGAGCTGGACGCAGCGCCCTGCCTGCTGTGGGTCTGATCCCCCTCTAAGTGCGGACCCTGGCTGTGGGTCCGGCCTCACCTGGCCCCACGCTCCCCTCCCAGGCCCACGCACTGGAGGCAGACATGGAGGTGGAGTTCTTGGAGACGGCGTGTGCCTGCAAGGCCGTGATCTGCTGCCGTGTGACGCCGCTGCAGAAGGCACAGGTGGTGGAGCTGGTCAAGAAGTACAAGAAGGCGGTGACTTTGGCCATCGGGGATGGGGCCAACGACGTCAGCATGATCAAGAGTGAGTCCTGGGGCCCAGCGAGTGTGGGAGGGGGGCCGGGTCCCTCCTGCTGCTGTCCCATCCCTTCTGGGGTGTCACCCTGTGCCGCTCACCCTGTGCCCCTCTCCTGCAGCCGCACACATCGGGGTGGGCATCAGCGGGCAGGAGGGCATCCAGGCAGTGCTGGCCTCCGACTACTCCTTCTCACAGTTCAAGTTCCTGCAGCGCCTGCTCCTGGTGCACGGGCGCTGGTCCTACCTACGCATGTGCAAATTCCTCTGCTACTTCTTCTACAAGAACTTCGCCTTCACCATGGTCCACTTCTGGTTCGGCTTTTTCTGCGGCTTCTCAGCTCAGGTGAGTGGGCTGTGCCCCCCCCCCCATCCCTGTGCCCCCCATCCCGCTCCTCCACGTCACCCCAGCTGCCACGTGGTGGCAGCAGCACGCACTGCTCGGGGACCCACGAGGCCGTGAGGGGGGCACTGGGGGGGTTTGGGCAGCGCTCTGAGCCCGGCGTGCTTTGCAGACGGTGTACGATCAGTACTTCATCACGCTGTACAACATCGTCTACACCTCGCTGCCTGTGCTGGCCATGGGGGTCTTTGATCAGGTAGGGTGAGCCCAGGGGGGGTCTCTGGGTGCTGTCCTTGTCCCTCTGCTGGTGCTGTCAGGGCCGGCTCAGTCCCAGCACACAGCACTGAAGGAGGTGCCAGCGTGCCACGTGCCCCCAGGACGTGCCGGAGCAGCGGAGCATGGAATACCCCAAGCTTTACGAGCCCGGCCAGCTCAACCTGCTCTTCAACAAGCGTGAGTTCTTCATCTGCATCGCCCAGGGCATCTACACCTCTGTGCTCATGTTCTTCATCCCCTACGGCGTCTTCGCCGACGCCACGCGTGACGACGGGGCGCAGCTGGCCGACTATCAGTCCTTCGCCGTCACCGTCGCCACCTCCCTCGTCATCGTCGTCAGTGTGCAGGTGGGGTCCCCCCCTCCCTCAACCCACAGCATCGGTCAGAGCCCCCCACGGCCACCCCCTGACTCTTCCTCCTCCTCCCCCAGATCGGGTTGGATACGGGTTTCTGGACCGCCATCAACCACTTCTTCATCTGGGGCAGCCTGGCCGCCTACTTCGCCATTCTCTTCGCCATGCACAGCGACGGCCTCTTCCAGATGTTCCCCAATCAGTTCCGCTTCGTGGGTGAGCACTCCTCCCTGCTCAGCACCCCCCCACACACTGCTCTGTGGGGCCCTGGGGCTGAAAGCTGCCCCCCCAACCCCTTACTTCTCCCACCCCCTCCCCCAGGCAACGCACAGAACACGTTGGCGCAGCCCACGGTCTGGCTGACCATCGCTCTCACCACCGTGGTGTGCATCATGCCTGTCGTGGCCTTCCGCTTCCTCAAGCTGGACCTGAAGCCTGAACTCTCAGACACGGTACGGCCGTGGGGTGAGAGGGGGCTGCGCTGCACCCCTCACCCCATTTCCTCACCCCATTTCCTCACCCCATATCCAGGTGCGTTACACCCAGCTGGTGCGCAAGAAGCAGAAGCCCCAACACCGCTGCACCCGCCGTGGGGGCTGCGGGGGGGGGTCTCGGCGCTCTGGTTACGCCTTCTCACACCAGGAGGGTTTCGGGGAGCTCATCATGTCGGGGAAAAACATGAGACTCAGCTCCCTGGCCCTGTCCAGTTTCACCGCCCGCCCCAGCGCCGCATGGATCGAAACCCTGCGCAGGAAGAAGGGCGGTGAGAGCAGCCCCGACACCGCAGCCAAAGGCTGAGCAACCCCCCCCCCTCCCCCCTCATTGTGCCACCAGGAGGGGGGGGGCAACGCCCCCTGTGCCATCGTATGGACTGGGGGAAGCCCCCCCCCTGTTTTAATCGGGGGGTCGTGCGGGCCTCCTCTGTAGAGGAGGTCAGACTGCTGCAGTGTAACCAAAAAGAACCGCTCCCCC